GGGGGGGGAGCAGCAGCCAGCCATACAGGGGACAGGCATGGCACCCACTCCTCCCGAGCAACCCACCACCCACGCACCATCTCCTGCACTGTCACAGGTTCACTTGCCCCTCCAGTTCCGCCCCCAGCCCCAGTCCCTATATACCTAGGCTAGAGTCTGGTCCAGAGCACACTGCAGCCTGCACCGCTGGTTTACCCCACATGCTGAGGCATCATGATGAAGCACCGGGGCAAGGGGCAACCATAGAATTGCAATGGTCACCCGCCAAAGCACCTCTTTGGAAGATCCTAGCCTCCGGCTGCTTCAGGGCACGCTACAGAAACGTACCTTTGCCCTGTTTTTTTCCGTGGGGTTTTCTGGTTGGGGTTTTTTTTTTGGTATCTGAATTTCCAGGTATCAAATTTAGAGACCGTGCTGCAAATATGCAGCACCGGGAACATTTTTGGTTGCCATGTGCTTTTTCTTCCAACATGCCTCAACTGCTTTGAGACACCACAAGAGGCATGTGCGTGCTTGTCTGGACGCGCCCACAAACACTTGCCAGCCCACCTATTATATATCACATGCTAAAACCACTGTAAGAAGCTCTTATAACCTGTGTATGAATGCAGTTACCAAACGAAGGGTCTTTATATTTCATCCATCTCATCTTTACCATGGCATTTTGTATTTTATACTTTATACTTTTAAACCCTTAAGGAATGTACTCCCTGTAGAATAAAGTTACATCCTGGACCATTGTTAAAACTGCATTGAAACTGCATTGTTAAAATCTGCTATACTGGGCGGTCCCTTAACTGAATCCAAGTATGTATGGTAATCAGTAGGTAATTAAATGACAATAGCCTAGCCAAAGGAACTTACCATTACAAAACTCTACTCTACAAGCCATTTTAGGCTAAACAAGCCAAGGAACTGATTCCTGGGACTGAGCACCCACCCCATTGACTATTCCTGCAACCTTTAACAATACCATTGTTAATTAATCAAAATCACAAACTGACTCCCAGAACTACACCACTGGATGAAACCCCCAGTGACTGTGACTAACAGCTGTCAGGTACTACTCAAGACACATGTGGGACAGCAACCTCCAGATCGGGCAGCCAAGATGATGCTGGGGGAATCAGAGAAGTCTGCCAGAAAGGGATAAAAGGCAGTGAAGCGTGACCCTCATCCAGCACCTGACCTACTGAGAAAGAAGGACAAGCACATGACCCCCTTCTGGAGAAGACATTGCCTTGAAGGAAGCTGACCATCAACAGCAAGCTCCTGGGCCTCCGACAGGTAGATATACTGACACCAGTGCTCTCACAATCACTACAGCAGCTACTATACAATATACTACATGGGTTTGAATGAGTGAGTGCATGTGTGTGTGCTATTGTGACCAGTACCACTAATAACTCAAAGTTTGCATTTATGATTTTACTGCTAACTTCACATCCCAACCAATACACTAGAATTTATGATGATCCCAAGAGTTGGTCCTTTGTAGCCAACATTATCTGGTGGAGAACGTGGCAAAATTCTAAGATTATTGACCGTTGCAACAGTTGATAATTGCGAGGGGGCTGTGTCACCTTGTAGAACCCACGTCCGCAGGGGAGTGGAGTTGTTTGGAAGTCGGGAGCTAAGGACTTAAGAACTGTCAGGGTCAGGAACAGACAGAACCCACGTCCGTGAGGAAGTGGGATACAGACCTGGTTTGCAGGACAGGGGAGGGCAGGCTTCAGAGACGGACAGAACCCACGTCCGACTTGCGGGACAGGGGAGGGCCATGTCCACAAGGGACTGGGAACTGGTTAGGGAATTCCTGTGAGTAGTCGGGAGTGTGAGGGCTCAAGGAAACCAACAGACTTGGGAACTGGTTTTAGATGGAGCTCTCGTCCACGAAGGAGTGAGATTTGGTCACAGTACTCCAGCAGGGCAGGGGCAGGAACAGTCAGTCAGGAGCGTGAGGGCTCAAGGAAACCAACAGGCTTGAAGTATATTGAGGGAGATGTCTTTGTTTAGAAAGAAGACCCTCAAGGGTGGCGTGGGAGGCCAAGTGGGTAAAGAGGGAGGAAATTTCCCCTCTCCATAAGGAGAGCCTAAAGGATGGACCCAGCCCATGAAGGGAGGATGTATGCACCCCAGGCTTCTTCATAGGAGACGCTGAAGCCCAATTTGAGACGTTCTGCCTTTGTGAAAAATCCTCGGCTCAAAGACAACACAGTGCCCTGGTCTGGCTACTGTGGCATGCTATAAGAACAGCAATCGAGGAAAAAGCTCAGCAAGCCTCAGAAGTTGAGGAGAAAAAAAGAGCAAATCCAAATTCTAAAAGATAAATGTACCCAATTGAAAACCAGTAATCAGGCTCTAAAAGGACTGTCTCAAAATTTGGAAAATGAAAAATTGAGAAAGGTAAATCAAGATAATGCCCAACAATTGGAATCCTTGGGCCAGGAAAAGGCTAGCTGAGAAGCCTTGCAAAAATTAGTTAAGACCATGGCTAAAGATCAAGGCAAGAAGGGAGCTAAAGTAAACCAGAGCCCCTGCATAAATATTATCAATTGTTTAAAGAAAGAACTCCAGGAGTAGAGTCTGCAAGCAGTAGCTGTCATTTGGGGAGACCAAGCCTGGGACCCAGACATCCCCTTCAATCCAGGAGAGATTTGGGATGGGGAAATGTGGGGAGACCCAGAGGACACAGTGGATCACTCCCCTAAGGACCCTAAGTCTGAGAAGGAGAGCAATCCGGTGCCTGAGGTGAGTACGATCACTCGAACCTCAGTCACCTGAGACGCACAGGGAAACCCAAGGGAAACCACATATGTAATGGTTCCCCCCTTAGTGGAGCTGATCTAGTTGCCCTGGGCAAGATCTTGGGACCTGCTAACATTAGGAATTTGAGGCAATAGTTACAAAAATCCCTGATTGTAGTGGAATGTGAAACCCTGAGTACCCAGGAGTGACATCACTTATTGAGAGCCTGTGCCACTCTGGAGATTCAGGCAACCATGAGTCATGAGGACAGCTTTGAGGGAGGCACTATTCCCCAGAGCACAGTGGATTTGGTGATCATCCTAGGAAGAAAGACATTTAAAGGGCAGTTTGAAGCAAGTCACCAAACACCTGGGGAACTGGACAGGGACTATGTGACTCGGTGCATCATGTTGCAAGCAGCTTTGTGGTTCAGGAGGGGAAAAATTCCCCTCAGCTCCCTGGGGCTGCTTGGGGATGGGGAAGCCTGGGCTGGGGTGAGGGGAAGCCCTACAAGATGGGGGTTCCCAGGTGCCTCTATGCTGGGCTGCACAGGCAGCACCCAGCCAGGATTGCTTCTTCCTCCCTCCTGTCCAGGGGCAGGGGCTCAGCTCCAGGCTCAGCTCCCTAGGGCTGCCTGGGCTGGGAAACCGAGGCTGGGGGAAACCCCCTAAGGAGGAGGCTCCCCCAAGGTGGGCCAGCACCCTAACAGGGGACTCCTTAAATCCCTGCAGGGGGGCAGCAGAGGGGTTGGGGACATTTGACTGGGCTGGCAATGGTCAGCAGACTGGGAGACATGCTCTAGCACCCCCTGCCTACTGGCCTGGATCAGTGCAGGCCTCCCCCTGCCTTTCCTAATTGAAAACTGAATGTTAGTTCAGTTGGTTATCGGTTCAACCTATGCAGCTGCCCAGATTGAACTGATTCTGCCTCGGGCTTTTTGACTGTCTGTACTTAGCCCAAGAGATGGAGAATACTCCACTCCCAGCATTACTCTGCTCCAATGGTTCATCAACCTCACCAACAAAAACATATGGTTATTTCCAAACTGAATTTTTCTGGCATCAACTTCCAGCCATTAGTCCTTTTTATAGCTTTCTCTACTAAATAAAGAGCCATTTGGTATCCGGTATTGTCTTCCCTAGGAAGGTATTTTTACATTATTCAAATTCAAGTCACCTCTCAATCTTCATTTTGACAATAGCTAGAGACTAAGCTCTTTAGTTTTTCATTAAGCATTTTTCAAAAGCTCCAAATTATTTTTGGCTCTCTTTTGAACACTCTTTGATTTTTTAAAAATATAAACATCAGAACTATGCACACTATTTCAATATCAGTCACACCAGTTCTGTGAATGTCACTGACTTTTCCCCGATACATCCCAAAATTGCATATTAGCCCTTTTGGGAATACCACTGCACTAGAAGTTTATGTCCAGATTACTTGTCCACTCTGACCCCTACACCCTTTTCAAATTCACTGCTTCCCAGGGGACAGTCCTCCATTCAGCAGCTATGCCTTATGTTTCTTCTTCCTAAATTTATCATTTTGCAACTGGTGATTTTAAAATGTATTTTGTTTTAATGGGCCCAAGGACAGAGACAGCTTCTATAATGCAGATATCCTTAAGCAAGCTAGTTACATGCTCCTCTTAATGTGAATCACCATCATAACAATAGAGAGGAAAATAGTGTACCTGCAATGTACAGTTTTCTTTTCGTTTAAGGAATTCCACAAACCTTGCCACCACTCCTGGCGTGCTGATAACTTCATCTATTGGTGGATTAGGCTCTGTTTAAATAAAATGCAAAATAATCCATAAGAATCGTCTAGCAAGGAAAGTCTCACCCCCCCCCCATGTTGATATGTTTTTTTATCAAGATCAGGAATTTAAATTTGCCTTTGAAAACAAATTCCACTTCAAAAAGAAAACACATGAAGGAATGAAGTTGATTCATAAAAATCAAAAGGCTCCTTTACAGATACGGTTACTTCTCATTAACAGCACTGTTGTGATACTACTTCTGCAGCATCACATGCTAGTATTTTGTGTTTCAGGCACAGCTGGATTACAACTTTCTGGGAAGAAACATTTTGAGGCAACTAAGGTACCTGCTAGAGGGCCCAAAGGTTTGTTAGGGAGGATGTAGAAGCCCAGTATACCACCACTACATGAAACAGATTCACAGATATTAAAGTGACTATGACCATTAAGTTTGACATCCTGCAAAGCACAGGGCATAGAACCTCACCTAGTAATTTCTGTATACACATATAACTTCTGCTTGCACTATCTATTTCTTACAAAAAGATCCTGTCTCAATCTAATGATGTGATGAATCAACCAATATCCCTTAGATCAGCACCTGGCAACCCTTTCAAGCCACCACCTGGTACAACCTGGCTTCAGTCCAACACAGGCTGGGTGGCTTACATGGTGCATCAGTGGTAGGGGGGTTCCACTGCACTGACTCTAGGGTCAGCCAGCTGGGAGCTGCACCTGTGCTCCAACTGCTTCTTCCAGCCCTTCACTCCCTAGCTGGGGCATGAGCACAGCTTCCAGCTGGTGAGGAGTTACATTGGGGTGAGGCATCTGGAAGCTGCATTCATACTACTGATGCTTCTGTACCACAGCTAGGAGGTGGAGGTGGGGGGGCCTAGGGAGAATCTGGGTCATGAAAAAAGAGAAGCAGCAGCAGTGTGGACATAGCTTCCAGCTGCCTGGCCCTGCTGTAGTTCCCCACTGGCTTCCAGCTGTACCCACACTGAAGCTTGGGGGAGTGGTGGGGGGTGGGGTGAGAGGAGCATCAGCAACAACTAGAGCAGTTGCAGCAGCCTAGGCTGAGCTCCTTGCTGCTTAGCCCCAGTGCAGGTGTGGGCATAGGCAAAGCCCTGGGGCTCTGAGGGCCAGATCCAGTGGTTTTACAGGCCAGACCATGCTGAACAGCAAGGGGAAACTGGTGGGAATCAAGCTGGGGAGACATCCTCCAAGCTCTAGTTCCCAGCCACTGGCTTTTAAATTGCGATCCCACTTGGGGGAGGGGAGAGCAAAAGGAAGCCAGCAGAAGATGGCAAAGTCCCCTGCCTCTTCCCTGAAACTGGGGACTACCCAATTGGGAAAAAAGAGGCAGGGACTGGTGGTTTAATGTCCCCCGCAACTCCCAGTCTATGGAGGAGGGGCAGGGAAACAGCTGCTCTCCATGCCTTCCCAAGACCAGGGTGACCCAGGTCTTGGGAAGGTAGGGAGTCTTTCCCCTGGCTCCACTCCCCCTTGTTCTCAAGAGGAGTTAAGCCAGGGAAAACTCTAAAGACATTCAGTCTTGAGAGAAACTCTCCTGGTAGTGATTTAACCCTGGTTGTTCCAAGGTTATTTTTCTCCCAGGGGGGCCATTTTTGCTTTGGGAAAAAAATTCTGAACATCTATACACTTTTGGTTTCTACCAAGAGAACAATGATTCCCCTGACAGAAACCAAATATCTATACTTAGCCAAACAAGGCCAGCAGAGTGCTTCATATGTTTGCACCCTCCAGCAGTGTGATAGGGAGCTGGTTGGTCCTCCTCTATCCCACCAGGTTCTATTTCTCCTCATTTTGCCTGTCACCCAACTCTGAAGACTCAGCCTCCATTTTAAATTGACGATGTTGTGGACCCTTTCAGATAGGGTGATCATATGTTCTGGTTTTGCCAAGACACTCATGGATTCCATATCCTGGTCCTGGCCAGATACTTAAAAGTCCCAGGCCAGAGTCTGGTGTGGAGACAGAGCAGCACACTTCACCAGCCAGGTCACCAGACAAGCACTGCTGTTCCTGTGTGGGAGCAAGGACATGCCACATGCAGGTGGGGTGGGAGCAAGGTCCAATCTGCCCACCTTGCTCCCACACAGAACCAGTGGTGCCTGCCCAGCCATCTGCCTGGCACACCATACCTGCTTTGCAAAACTTTTGACCAACCAGCTGGGACCAGGCTATGGGATCCGTAAGTGTCCCGGGCAAACCAACCTTTACATCTTTACTGATTGCTTCCTATATTATCCTTTCTAAGATTTTGCCCAGTTTGATATTAAGTCAATATATCACCCCAAGTCACATTTTTACCCTTTTGCAATTTTGGTACAACATTCTATTTCTTTAGTCCTTTGGAACTTTGTGCTAAGATTTGTTAAAAATCAATATTAATGTTCCTCAGCCAATCCTTTTAATATTTTTCGGTTGCAAGTTATCCAGTCCTATTTATTCATGTTTAATTTTAATAATTGTTATTCATTAATCATCTAATTACTGATACAATATGAAGTACTTCCTCATTGTGAGGATATCCCTTAGCTTCTTTTTAAATATAGAACATTGTCTGTTGAAAGTGTCTGCCTTTTCTGCATTGTTCACAGTTTACACCTATTCAAAGCTCCAGGTAAAAGCCAAAAGAGATGAGGAAAGTAATTGGACTGTGTGAACCTCCAATGGCAATAACAAGATTCAAGTAAACGTCTCTATCCTTCAAGAGATAGCTTTGCAGATTCCTTCTCTGGGAAATTAACTAGAAGGAGAGAACTCAGGAGGAAATATTTGCATTAAAATTCTGGTTCTATGCTGAGGCATTCGAATAGCTTTTTACAATGATATCAGGAGGTGCTACTTCACTGTCAGAGAGGCTAGGATCTGGAACCAACTTCCAAGAGAAGTGGTGCTAGCTCCTACCCTGGGGGTCTTTAAGTGGCGGCTAGATGAACACCTTGCCGGGGTCATTTGACCCCAGTACTCTTTCCTGCCATGGCAGGGGGTCGGACTTGATGATCTGCTCAGGTCCCTTCCAACCCTACCAACTATGAAACTATGAATCATTGCTTTCAGAAGATTCCAAAGCCAGTGTAGTATAAATAGCAAAATCACACACAAGCATTCAGAGACAGCTGTCTAAAAAATAGTTCTCTTCAATAAAAAAGCAGCACACACAAGAAAAGTCTCATCACAAAGGAGTTTATCCTTCAATACTAGAATTTATACTGAGGTTTGGGGAGTATGATGTTAAAACGTCTTTCATGTCAGACAGTTTACAACCACTTTACTAAGCTGGAACATAAAATATTCTCCCTTCTAACATTATTATTCTAAGTAGCTTCAGCACTCACCTTTGGAGAGTAGTTTTCTGAACTTCTGGGTGGCTGAAAGTTGCTGCTCTGGACTATTGGAGAAAATCATCTCAATCATATCAGAGGTGATGACAGCACTCTGGGATCACAAAGGCAAAAATAAACAAATTAATCTTGGATTTGAATTCAGAGAGAAAAAAATTCTAACACCATTTGTCAGATTCTAGTACTGAGTTTGACCGAGAGGGAGGATACTAAAATGTGAAACTTCTCTTTGGAAACCAGCGTTCAAACTCTGTTTATGCTGTACAAACCCAATTTAACAGATAGTTTTCTGAAGGTCTAGACAGTATAACTGGCAGTCTTAATTGGAGAAGAAAGTCTTAAGACTGGAATAGTAGAACTATTAATACGTGGGAGACTGAGGATGTCAGAAACAGCTTATGTTAGTCAGGCTACTGTCTAGCCTTCCCAGTACTGTGCAGCTCAAGCCCCTTTATTACATGTAAAATAATTTTTAAATGTAAAAAACACTAAAAATTTTAGTGTTGGTGAAAGATGAAAGACCAAAAGCCCTGGCAGCAGTATAAGCTACTTGCACTACTTTGACTAGCACCATTCTACTCAGATCTGGACACCTTTACGTCATGAAAAATGGAAGCATAGTTCCCCACACATGCAAGTCTCCAGGTAGAAGTAGTAGAATAAAAATAACTTGATTTTTTTTTTTTTTTTTTACCACCATCAACTCATCTAATCCAATTCTAAGACAGAGATCGTTAGCAATGGTAAAACTATCCAAGCTTTGTCTGTCTTGGTGAAAGATTACAGGTTTAGATTTTATCAGAATAAACAAGGCAGAAAGGGAAAAGAAGCTAAATTTTTGGTTTTTTTGGACTACCATGGACACCAATTTGAGGTATCTGCAATGGCAAACTAATAATAGTCTCAATGGAATGAGTAGTAATGAGGCGGCCCTCCTTTACACTTTATACACAACTCATCACACATAAGCTTCCAAACAAAAGATTTACATTGTCTGCTGTAACTGACCTGGAGTAAATTTGAAGAAAAGCTACAGGTAGAAAACTTTATATCGCTTTATAGATCCACTGAGCAATCCAGTTTCAACATTAATGAGATTATGTTCGAGTGAAACATTCTACATTCAACTCAGCGGCATCTTGCTGTGTCTCTCTGTAAGGCAGTAACCTGAAGACTACATTTGCTCAGTTCCAAAGTATCAAGGAACGGTTGAGGGATCCATTAAGGAAAACTTGAGACAGTCCTATTTCTAATAACATCATCATTTCATCATTCTGGGTAGAGGCATGAGATAGTGATTTTAAGGTGAAGTCAGAGTTAATGGGGCCATCATTTCACTCTGGTTGAGCCCCTCTCATTCTTCCCACCCTGACCAGGTTCCTAATTTTTGATGAAAAAAGTGGAAAAAAATTAAATAGGTCTGATTTCCAGGGATCAGGTCAGAGTGGAGTGCATGGCCACTAATGGGTGTATAACAAGGTCTACAAACACAACACAGTTTGCAACACTACTTTAAAGTTATGCCAGTTAAAACTTGCCCAAGGCACAATTTCACAACAGCTCCATTTTCTCCTATAAAAATGCAGCCACCTGTTGCAGCACCATAGTTTCATAGTTAGTAGAGTCGGAAGGGACCTGAGCAGATCATCAAGTCTGACCCCCTGCTATGGCAGGAAAGAGTACTGGGGTCAAACGACCCTGGCAAGGTCATTGTCAAGCCTCATTTTAAAGACCCCCAGGGTAGGAGCCAGCACCACTTGGCTTGGAAGTTGGTTCCAGATCCTAGCCACCCTGATAGTGAAGTAGTGCCTTCTGATGTCTAATCTGAATTTACCCTCTGCCAACTTGGGACCGTTATTTCTAGTCACTCCTGGTAGTGCTCGGGGAAACAGGGACTCCCCCAATGCCTGCTGGTCCCCTCTGACTAGTTTGTAACAGGGCACTAGATTCCCCCTCAGCCTTCTCTTGTGGAGGCTGAACAGGTTCAGGTCCCATAGCCTCTCCTCGTAGGGCCTGCCCTGCTGCCCCCTGATCATGAGATTGGCCCTCCTCTGGACCCTCTCCATGCTGTCCACATCCCTCTTGAAGCGCGACACCCAGAACTGGATGCAGTACTCCAGCTGCGGCCTGACCAGTGTCGCATAGAGGGGGAGGATCACCTCCTTGGACCAGCTTGAGATGCATCTGTGGATGCATGACAGGGTGCAGTTGGCCTTCCTGACCAGTATCTGCAAGCTTTAAACAACAAAGACTTCAATGCCTCAACCTAAAAACTTCACAAACTTAACAAAACATTGTTTTTTAAGAAAATATTGATAGGTGTTTCTTTGCATTGCTCAGTATCCAAAACCAAAAACTTTGAAGCTTGTTTGAAAAACTAAGATTTTTTTTGAAAATATATACCAAACAATCTGTCTTTTCACTATGTTCCTTTCTGAGGCAATCTGTTCTAGTCTGATCCAAATGGATGCACTGTCTGTCAATTTTAATATATAAGCTCTTTAGACGGGGACCTATCCATGAATTTGCAAGGTGTCACTTATGATATTCAATAAATATACAAGCAAAGATCATAAAATCTTTGAGTTCCCTCCACTCCATCACTTACAGAAGTCATCTCCATGTTGTTCATTTGGGCCTCATGGAATCCACCATCTGACATGACTTCCTCCTCTGTTTCTTCCTCAGCTGTAGCAACATTTCGGCGCTTAAATAGCTAGAGTAAAGGATATAAGTTAGTATAAGCAAGGTAGAATTACAGCTAGTAAAAGTTCAAAACAGCAGATTAGCTTGCAATACCAGTAACACCTAAAATCAGAATTCAGCATATTTACTAACATTTTCAAAGTTCACAATCAAGTCAATAGGTAGGTTAAATGCAATTTAAGCCCCATGTTTAGTAGAATATACCCCCCACCACAAAAACCCAGCTTAAGTACACCTACTCAGGAAATTTAAGCACATTATGATTAAGATTAAATAAATCCCTGTTGGTACTAGAACATTTAATAGCATCACGGTGATAACAGAGAAATTGGAATGTGAAACTGACCAGAAAAACTCCAATGCTAGAAGAAAAATTAAAGAGCAATTTAGGTTTTATCTTAATTATCTAAGGCATTAACTCAAGAAATTGTAATTTACCTAAAAAAAAAAATCACACTAAAATTAACCAAAAAAGGAAAATTCTCAAAGAGCAAAATGATTCAGAGATAGGAAATTTATTTTTTGCTTATTTACACATCCCTATGTCAAAAAAATGGGAAAAGCCTTGACATTAAAAAAAAAGTGCAATTTACTTGGGTCTTAAAAAGAACACCACACAGTTTTATTTTTCATTAGAATGTTCTTAGTTGAAGACTTCTGAGTTTTACTTTCCTATTAAAAACTCCATTTTCCAAAAGATTCATAACAGAACTGAGAAATTATCAATTACAGCAATATGTCCTAACATAACTACACATTTGCAGTACCCAGTATTCCATAATGCTAGAACAAGAGGCCATAAACTAAATTCAGTGGTCAATTTAGTCAGGGGGGAAAAAAAAAAGGAAAATACCACACACTGTATTTAGTAAGTCTGATTGTGACCGTCTTAGGAACTTATTCCACAAAGACTGGGGTTATGTTTTTAAAAGGAATGCATTAATTCTCTGATTTAACATCATCTTTAGTAATGTTTAAAATAGAGCTGACTCATGCTGCAGCCTAGGTATGTTATGATCAGGGATCTGGGTTATCCATTTGTCAAGGAAAAACCCAGATGTTCCCTTTTAAAGGAGAAAAACATGGGAAACCACAGGTTTCCCCTTGCATGTTGGCAGTGTTCCGGCCTGCAAGGAGCTGCTTAGGGCTGAAGGGAATGGGGGGTGACATGTCTGCACACATACACACAGCTGGCACATAGCCAGGCAGGGTGGTGGGAGCAGCCCTGGCAAGTGCTGTCCTGGTGGGTGCATGCGTGTTACAGTGCTAGTCCTCCCTGTTGTACCGCAGCCCCAACCACAGCCAACAGTGCGGGGCAGCATAGTGCCCTAGCTGCCACCTCTGCTTCTGCATGAAGTGCACTGCATGCTCCTCATGCTGGAGGCCATCCCCACCATGTCCCCATAGACCATCCTGGGAGTCCATGAGGGGCTGGATAGGCCAGGGGGCAGCTGGGGGTCCCCTCTGGGGAGGTGGGGGGCTGTGGGTCATGAATGAGGGCCACTGTCAGGTCCAGGGAGGCTGCGGGTTGAGAGTTTAGGGGTACTGGCACGGCTGCGGGAGCCGTGGCTGGGAGTGAGGGACAATGGCATGAGCAGGAGATGGGCGTATCAGGGTTGCTCAGCACCACAAAGCAGCTGGAGGGACAACAGCAGCTGGACCTGCATCCTGGTGAGAGAGGGAGGCAGGGGGAGCTCTGATTTTCCATGATAAAAAAACAAAATTAAATGGCAAAATATATAGAAGTTTAGAATTTATTTTATTATAATGACTAAGGCACTGGTAGGTTTCCAAACTACTTTAAAATTGCACATATGTCAATAAAACATTGTGTTTAACTAATACCTATACACATATACAGTGACATTTCATTTTAATCATAGAAAAATGAGGATGGGGGGGGGGTTTAATTTGAGAATTTTGGATTTTTAAAACAACGATAACCTGGGACCCTGGTTTTGATTCCCATCCCCCAAACGCTCCTTTGCATAAACAGTTCTCTGAAGCCTCTGGCATTGAAATCACCAAAGGAAGAACTGACAGGTCAGTGACCTAATCCCATTTTACAATGCCAGCATGCTCCCCTCAGTCCTCAAGTTAGGTTTCAAAGACTTAAAACCTAGTGTCCCCCCCCTCCCCCATGACAGTTTCATCTGGAATCAAACATAAATCCTGCATATTCCAACATACACAAGTAAGCTCCCAAGTACAGAGACCTCTAGTGCTACTTAGCTCCCTGTTAGTAAATAGTTCTGGGTCTCCCTACTTTTCAGCTACTCTCTCCCTTTCAGCTCCAGGAGAACACCACACCAACCTTTCACTATAAAAAAAAAAAAGGGAGCGAGAGAGAGCCATAACAATAGGAAATGAACAGTCCACTTGGTTTGTTCTCAAGCATCTCTCTTGATACTTATACATTTGAAGAACACAACACATTGAACTTGCCATTCAACCTAAGTTGAATCCTCAGAGATAGGACTGAAGTATGAACCAGGCATGAGGACAATCTGTTTTCTCTTAAGGAAATCTGTTTTGCAACCACTGACATGATTGAATTGCACAGGACAGGGATAAAACATAAGGGAAACATGAAAAGGGTTGGGGGGTGGGGAAGAGACCTTTGCAAGAAAAACTTTGAGGCCTGACTACAGTTCCTGAGAAGCATTCTAATGTACCTGTTCCTCTCGTTTCTGCTTCCGTAGCTGAAGTCCCTCTTCTTCCCGCCTGCGACGCATCTCATCAGGGTTTAATGATTTGTTCTTGTAGCTCTTCAGTCGGAAGTTTTCCTTTCCTGAGGTCGTCATGGTTCCTTTGTATTGCAATTAAAGTGAAGAGAAAGTGGGTCAAATGAAAAGCACCTTCTTCAGAACCCGCTGAATCCAATTCTACCCTATTTCTGCTATAAATAGTTCTAGGCACTTTCTACAGTGTCCTTTTGATATCTAAGCTTCTGATGACTAAGAACTACAAAATAAATGCAACCGTGGCTCCCAAACTTTTGGAACCAACAGACCACTGTCAACCATCAACACTTCTTGCAGGTCCCCACAAACCCATATCAATTTTTAACTGAAAACACTATAAAGACATATAGGACCTGGTACAATTGATTCATGGGCCATGCACTGGAAACCACTGCTCTAGTATATACATGTTAATCCCACTTGACACTAACTGCGATACTCCCAATAACACTAACTCTTGATTAGATTGTCACCCTGACTACACAAAAACACCTCAAGTGATAAAAAAATGTATTAACAAAAAGTTCCAAAGACACTAAAAGGAAAGAAAAAACTGCCCTGATAAATCTAAGTGCCAGTCTAGGTGAGAAATACAGCCAAATTAATCAAGTCCCTATGTGGGTACTCATTCAGAAGTTTGCTTCAATTCACTTTGGAAATCCACATAAGGATTTAATATATTTTGACCACTCTGAATCATACCTTTTGTTAATCAGCTCGCTTTTTTTGAATATTGCCATTTACACAAGATTTCAAGAAAAACAGAAGACGTGGAGACAATGATAATGAACAATTTCACAGACCACACCACAGTATAGCATATTCAGAAACTCAACTTATATATCAAAATTAGATTCCACTGTGAAATATTCCATCAGTAAGGCTCCATAAAAATTAACAGATAAGATGTAATTAAAACTTATGGGAAGGGAACATAGGACAAGAGTATGAATCTATATCAATAAAACCATTTTTGCCACAGCATTCTTTGAGTTTTCAGGAAGATAGAAACAAACTTGGGATGACGAATTTTAAGATGTTCTGCAACAGGTTAAATACCAAAGAAACACTTAAAGTAGCCAAGCAGCGAACACCCCAAATGGTACAAGGGAAGAGTACAAGCCTGAGAGAGAAACATGTTTAAGCTGGTCAAAGTCCTAATTATAACAGCTTTTTGTCTCAAGGAAGCACGATTCTGTTTTTTTTCCTACCTTGGAAAACATCTACCTGCAAAAAGGAATCTGGATAACATCTTATCTTATTCTGCTAAGCTGAGAAGGCCTCTATGGAGCAATTGTGAGCAGCAGCCCCCCCCTCCCCTTTCAAAGCCATTGAAAGTGTATGTCCATACCTACCAAAGCAGAAACTGAAATTGCTTCACAGGACTTAAATAGACCTCTAAAAATCGCCAAGCCACTCACAGTCTTGTAATAATGCATACATACTGTGTGTAGGCTGTTTCTCAATCCTAGGATCTGCCTCCTTTGAGATCAAGTTAAACTGAACATATAAATCTGATGTGTTTTTAGTAACAACTTATTTTAAAAATAGCAATCTAACACAGATGACTTGGAACTCAGTTATACAGTAGATAATGGATTAAAAAGATAATTATGAACTTTTTTTTTTTATCTTAGTTAATGTAGTTTTAAAAAGAAAGGGAGGGAAGATAAATAATTGGCTTGCTCCATCTAACATTATAGAATTTATGCTAACTCCCAGTCACATCTGTTACTCCATGCAATCTTCCCATTCATGGTACAAGAGCCTTCTCTTCTGTAATCCTTACTTTTTAGGACAGAAAATTCCCATTTCCCCCTACTTCAGCAATCCTCAGACTTTTTGAATGTCAGCTGCATATCATCCTTCTCCTTTATCTATATCAGCTATTGTACTCTTAATTTTGGAGTTTTGATTTATAGGAATCACCAGATGAGTGGCTGAAAACGCCAGTTTATTATTTCAAGGCCCATTTGCATATTTTCCCATCCTGGGTAATTAAAGAACTGTTCTGAAGCATTTCAATTCCTGATGTGCATGGGGCACGTGTGGCTCATAGATCCTGCAGAAAACCCTAGACCTCTATTCTCTCCTCTACAGGAGGGTACGGAGAGAGTGGGGATGGGTTATCTGCAGCCT